GTAATGTTCAACGTTAAACGAAAAGACAATTTTTACCTGTCAAAGTTGAAATATCCTAGATCAGTATAATTAGAAAAGAAATGAACTTTTTTTGAAGCTTACTTACTTACTTACGCCTGTTAATCCCCGTGGAGAAGCATAGGCCATCCACCGGCACTCGCCATTCAACACCGTCCTGGGTAATAATTTACAGTTCTTTCCAGTTGCTATTCATTCTTTTTATATATGCTTCTATTTCCAGACTTAATGTATACTTTGGCCTTCATCTTTTCCGTTTCCCTTCAGGATTGCGAGTTAGGACTTGCCTCGTGATGCAGTTTGATGATTTCCTTAATGTATATCCTATCCGTTTCCAACGTCTTTTACTAATTTCTTCTTTAACTGGAAGTTGATTTGTCCTCTGCCATAGTAACCTGTTGCTGATGGTATCCGGTCAACAGATATTTAGTATCTTACTTAGACAATTGTTTAGAAATATTTGTACCTTTTTGATGGTTGTGGTAGTTCTCCTAGTTTCAGTTCCGTACAGTAGAACTGTTTTGACGTTTGTATTGAAGATTCTCACTTTGATATTGGTTGATAGTTGTTTTAAGTTTCATATGTTCTTCAATTGTAGAAATGAGGCCCTTGTTTTATCAATCCTCGCTTTTATATTTCCATCAAGTTCTACTTGTTTATCATTGAAACAAAATAGATAATAAGTATAAACTACCAACTACCACAATTCAATTAGAACTCATGTTTATTAAAATAAATACATTTTTTTTCCAAATGGTAACCTATTAAATAAATCAAATATTAGAATTAAATAACCAATATAAAGATACAATAATATTTCATTGATTTTCCAATATTGGTGTTAGTGTCTAACATCAACCATTAGATGGCGGCTTAGTGAACCAGTAGGTTAAGCATTCGCGCGCAAGACTGAAGACCCTGGGTTCGAATGCTGCGAGTGGGATCGTAGATGAGCACTGCTGAGAAGTCCCACAATAGGACGAAACGGCCGTCCAATGATTCCAGGTTTTCCATGGTGGTCTAGCTTCAACTGACTCATGATCTCAATCAAAAACTTAATAATCTCCAAAACCCCTCTATCGATTTATTATTATTTTTTTATAGCAACTATCTACTTAAATGATTGTATAAATGACATGATCATTTGATTAAATCAATCAATAAAAAAGGTGTAGTATTGTAACTGTGTATTTAAATGCTTTACATAATAATCACTAAATGTAATTGTCAATATTATCGATTTTTAAGTCAAATCAAACTACTCTACCATATGATATATATATATATATATATATATATATATATATAATAGATACCATCAATATATACAAATACATACAGAAGCATACAGCAACATACCAATGATTATTGAATATCATATATCAATACAGGTATCTATCTTAATCGAATTATTGATTGATTTATTAGGTTTTTTATAAATCGATGAAATACAGTTTATGAATATGTTCAAAAATATTTAAAGAGAACAAGAATGAAGATTGCTGTAGAATTAATATGAATTCGTTGTATATTGCTAGGTCCTCGTCAGTTGCTTACATTCTGTGATATTGTTGAAATCAATGTTATTGCAGATATCGACATACTTATAAATGTACGAGGATGATTAAAGATGAATATATGTATCATGATGTAGTGAAGATTTCGATGGAGTCAATAAAGTCATAAGACATTTTGTTTCGGATAAATAAAGTTTGAAATGGGATGTGTTTAGAGCATTAGACTAGTGATTAGAACTCATAGAGTTAACAAACGTTAGATGATTATGTAATGAAGCGACTGAAAACAGATTAATGGTATTAAAGAAAGATATAAATTAAAATCAGTCAGTTATGAATTGAAGAAAGTAATGATAATGATGTGATTTAAACTTCAGATAGAGTTGAAACAATGAATGACGTAATAAATAAAAAGTGGGGATTAATGTTACCAGGGTAAAGAAAGACTTATTAATGCCTCTTTTTGAATATATAGATCTAATTTTAAACGTTTGAACGCTATCGCTCTGACAAGTTTCAATATTATAGGTTGTAAGTGGCTGGTAAGAACCTAAAGAATTCTCATGTTCATTTAATTTGGTCTATGATCAAAGAGACAACAATAATAACCAATATAAAGCAGTTATCACAAAAGATCTTCATATTATGAACTCAGTATTTTTGACTTAAATTTTAGTTCATCATATCATTACAATTTACAATTAAAGATATCTTTGATTAAAGTAAACTGTATATGTTATGAGAGTTATGTCTCTAGTAAAACGTTTTAAACCTTAAACAATGCTACAGTTATTCGGAGTTTGACAATGATTTTACACGTAACACTTTTATAATCGAAGTATACTAACCCAGTTAAATCAGAAATAAAGAAGTTCGAAGGTATGTTTGAAAGGTTATCGATATATTGGGAAGTGTTTAATCTATGTTGGCCAACGGTTGTAATAGTTGAGTAACGCGATGTACCCACTTGTGATCTGGTGTGGATGCGTGACCGAACGCCTTCAGCTAGACCTATCCAGTAAAACTTATATATATATATATATATATATATATATATATATATATATATATATATATATATATATATATCAATTCAAAATATTTTATACAAATAATTTGCTATCATGATGTTAACGTGTTGATTAACGATAGAGAGAAATAGATTTAGCTCGACAACAATGACTAACATCCAGCAATAAGTTTTGTAAGATAATACAGTCACGTTCTTATGGACTCAGATGATATAAGCAAACTAGCGGTATAATCCATTATTCGTATATAAGGTTTGTAGAGGTTGTAGTAAGTCTATTCAATTATTTTATTATTTATTTGTTCACTGTAATTTAGACATTTAATTCTGTGTGAGTATGATTGAGCACATGTCTGCACATCAATCCTTAATCTATTTTCCCATTGGTTGTAACATACAGATAATCAATAATTTGTCCACACTTCATTAACACTCAAAAATATATATGGATTTTTAATTCACACACACACACATTATCCTGGTTTCACAGTGTGCTTTCTCGCTGTACGCTTGTGAATTTTAATTATCTTTAACAATAAAAATATCTCTACAACTGGTGTTCGGGCTTCTGAATAATCTCGAGTAAATCCATAATTCTACTAGGAGATTTGGCCTGCCTTAAATACTCAGTTAACGGGATATCATTTACTGGAGTCAGATATAGAAGAAACTAGCCCTCAACAACGTTATTGAACTCCATAGGTTGCAGTATGAATTGACAGTAGATAGACAATCATTGGAAACCAGGGAAATTTGAATAGCTATTTTATCTTAATATGGAACCTCTCAGAAGTGATCATATTCGACACCACCCTAGGTCGATTCTAGGACCCATGGGTCTTAGAACGAACTCTTGAACTTTTAACTACTGTGTTAGTATTCAGTGATTTGCAGCTCTAATTTCAATCAATCCACTAGGTTGTGCAACTACCGCACGTCAACTCAGTTTTTAAAAATTAATAGTTTCCCAAAGACTCTAGGGTTGTGGAATCGATTCCCGATGTGGTCAGTGATCACTGTCAAAGAATCCTATACCATAACGAAATGCCACCCAGTATTTCTTAGTTTTTATGAGTAATTAATTAATGTCAGCTGGTGATGTAAACGATGCAAGCTGTTCTTTTTTTTCAAATTTAATCATGTATGTCTAACTAGTTTAACACAATTATTCTCTAAAACCACAACTAAACTAGACTTTATTGCCAACAAACGTGAAAATGACATTTAAAAAATGACTAAGATACAGAATGAGCTTTGTTGATGGGAATCATTAGTAAGACAAGTAACTAAAATGAACTACGATTCAACATAAGGTTCCATGTATCTTAATTGAATATTCAAATAGTCGAACTTAGTCAGTGAGTTAAATAACTAGACTGTAAATATTTTTCTTTTAATAATTCGTGTAATTATATAGATTTAACATCATAACAGTATTTTTAAGCAAAGATGGGTAGTGGCTAGCAATGGAATCCAGGGAGCGCGTTCGTCCTGTTTGGGACTCGTCAGTTGGATGTGCCTGCATTTCAGGGTTGATACTCACTCCAGGACTCGAACCCAGTACCGCTCGCTGATCAATTACAGCCCTAAATAACAATGGGAAGATACAAGTAAAGCAACACAAAGTGAATCATAACAGTATTTTATTTCTTTGGGAAGATTAATCATAAACATACACAAAAGATTCATGATTCATTTTAATAAAATACCCATTCATTGATACACTCTTGTCTAGGATCATTTTATTTAGTTTTATTCCCACCACTCATTTGTACAAAACTACATGTTTTTTTGTCTTGTAACAACCATCATTTCATAACCAAACCACAATTAATTTTTCATATGGGAATAGAGGATTAACTGAGTGTTTTTATGTTTATACTCCTACATTCTTATTATGATAATGTGCCATAGTTTAGTAAATAACAGCTGATGTGTTTTACTAGTCGCCATAACAATAATAATAATAATAGACATTATAAAAACACTAATGACAAGACTAAATCAACAATATTAATAATTTTAGTCTATCATAAAACAATTTTTCATTCTAACCACATTGGGGAATTACAGACAGAGATAAAAATAACCATTTTGATTGTTTATATATATTTTGATTTACTATAATCTACATTTACATTTACATACATCATAAATAATTACTATTTTCCCTATGTTTTGTTATTTAATGTATATTAACTTTTATATTTTAATCCTAAGTAGTTTATAAAACTTTATATTTCCTAGAAAAAAATCAAGCTCGAATTTTGTTGACAACTTGCCTCTAAGAAAAAATGTAAATGGCGCCACTTTAATATCTAGCTTATAATTGGTTAAAATTCTTTCTAAATTTTGATTGGCTAATAAATTGACAAATCAGAAAATTCTTTGAAAAGATTTCTATATTTAAATTTTATAGAAAGGTTTATTCATTCATTATTATAATGAGTAAATAAGACAGTTAATTTCTGTATTTTAATGTCAATTATCAAATATTAGTGGACTTTAGAATTACAGAAACTTATATCAAGCCTTAGTTGAATAATAAACACGATTCTAAACAGGAATATAAAAATGAACAATTGAAATGTTGTAAAATTTATTATTTGGAATATCAAACAAAATCATAATGGAAACTAATACACAATAGGGTAAGTAATAATTGCAGTTATTTCGTTTTGTCATTTAATATATAAGTATTGAATCATTTTTGATTGAATTCATAAGTCAGTTAAAGCTAGACAACTTGAAGCACTGGACGTCTGTTTCGTCTTAGTAGAAGCGTGCATCCGCAGTCCTACCCGCCTCCAAGAGATTCGAACCCAGGACCTACCAGGCTCGCGCTCGAGCGCTTAACCATTAGACCACTGAGCCGGTCGGTATTCAACGGTGTTAATATATAACTTCAAAATAATTTTCATCAATTCGTTTATGGGACATTTGTGTTTATGAGATAATTCAAGGTAATGGATTAATGATAAATTCAAATTGGTCAAGTTGAAGTGAGATGCAGTTCGAACAATAAACTTAAATTTTACTGAAAAATCTCAGAAAAATTCTTATTGTAAAAACTTCTTCAGTTATCTTAAAATGATAAATATATTCAGAATATCGAATGAATTAAGGGTAAATACCGTCTAGCCTATGTCTTTGGAGAATCTGTAATAAATACAGATATAACAATATAACCACTATAACTATATACTCTTCTTATCTCCTATGATGTTTAATTAACTTATTAGACTGAATACTCTCGGAGTAAAACATACCATGTTCTATGAACTCATAGCATTCTTCAAATATTGTCATTCATGGTCTCTTTTTTTCTGAATTGTTGATTTGTTCAACTTTATTTTATAATCCTACAAACATTCAAATCATCTCAATAACATATATATTCGAACTTCCTAAATGAATTGACTTGTAATTCATAATGACTGAATTTCATTCATACTTCAATATATATAGATCACCATTGGTAAACAATAGACATCTAGGTATGATAAATATAATTTTCTAATCAATTATTATTATTATAAGCTTTATTCAATACTTTTTGGTACAATATAGAATTCTCAGCACAAAGTATTTCAACAAGCTTCCGTTTCTTACTTCTTGGTCGGTCCTGGAGATAAATATTGAGTGATCGCCAGTTAGATATTAGCTGTCCAGTAAATGAACATCTGAATAATGTACATTCTTTTCGTTGTATATTGCCAGCAACCACATTGTCTCTTATTGAGCTTTTTGTAACTTTGACAACGAAAGGTTGTACACTTTTCAGAAATGCACCAGGATAGCTTGTGCGATTAATAGGCATAATGATATATTAAAACAAACAAAAATAGATAACCTATTGGAATATCTAAATGGCAGGAACAGGTAGCCCAGATGCTCAAGCAGGTCGCCTATAATTGTGACCATCACCGCATATGCCAGTCCATGGCGTGCAATTGAGAATGTTTCTAAAGATTACATAATACCAAAGATTTCATTATAATTTTGTGTAAAAGAGAATTTTTCTTTGTTGTATTCTTTCAATTACTTTAATGAATTGATTGATTTCATTATTGTTACCTACTTAAAACTTAAAAAAGAAATCAACCAAATGTTTATTTCGAAATGAGTTCCAATAATGTTATTCTAGAATAACAATAGAAATTACTCTAGAACTAATGAATTGTCTTTTTTATTTTAAGTATTAATGAAAGAACTATACCTGTAGTTCATCTAGAGTTACAGCCAATCTTATGCCCCATGTAAAAAAGGAAGCTTGAAACATGGAGTCAACAACCCTATGCTAACCAGATTAAACATGTATTCATTCATCAAAAGCTTTCATTCATAAAACATTGAAAGTTATTATCTGTCTATTATATTAAAATAATAAAAAGGTCATTGATTATTGTTTGTCTCATGGGATTTTTTTAAAGTATATCAGGTCGTTTGAATTATTTGGGAACATTCAATCTGTGTATAATGTTTAAGTGGTTTGTATTCAATGAATTTTAAATTCTCCATTTTTTTTCCTTCAAATGCCTGGTTGATATTGATTAACTGGGGAAACTGTTAAATCATGTCAATGTCATTAATTCTCCTGTATATTATCAATAAATATAAATCCCTTATTTTAATGAAAATGGTAGTCTATTTATTTATTTATTTTAACACATAAATATTGGTACAAAAGGGGCACCAAATACATATGCAGCACCACACAAGTCACCCGGGTGCCCAGATCGAAGCAAGTGGTTTTCTTAGGAGGTCACATACGGAGCTTTTGACCTAAAGGTCTGATCCACAAGGTAGTGGAGCAACTTCAAGAGATGCATTACCATGGTAACTGGTGACCAATTATTGGTTCATACGCCATTTGTTCCCTCAGGATCTTGAAGCTCATGTACACCATTGGTTTGTAATCAGGTTTTTCCAACTCCCCTAAATGGATTCTCCATATCTACCAACCCGGTTATAGTGCCAGACATTCGCTTTTCATCCTTTGAATTTCACAAACAACACCTCCGCCACGAGAAGGCAGTGAATGAGACTGTATATGCATGACCATATGAGAGTATTTCACATGGGAGAGCTAACACTCCTCACTCTTAGCCGTACTAGGACATTTAGAGACACATCATAGTTTGTATCTTTTCAATATTATTATAATCATTACAATATAAGATTATTATTAATTATAATGAACTTTACCATTATTGATTCATATTAAGCAAACTGCTTAATATTATATATAGTAAATTTATTAATAAATACTCATATACATAATTGAAGATTAGACTAATATAATTTCAATTGATGGCCCGAAGCACATTATTTGTCTAGACCAATAATTCACAAAGAATCTCTTTAATCATAAACTTCTTTATCTCTCCTTACTAATCGTATGATTTATGAGAAAATAATGAATATTATGGTGATTGTTTTGTTTTGATTTAGTATTAAAAAAAAGAGACATTCATCAATAAGTATTAACTAATATTAATAATCATGTTTGATCTCATTGATAATAGAAAATAATGTCGATAGTTGAGATCATGAATTAATTGAAGCTAGACCATCATGTAATACCTGAAAGCACTGACTGGATTGTTTCTTCCTATTTTGGGATTCCTCATCAGTGCGCATTCACGATAAGACGAAATGGCCGTTCAGTGCTTAGAGGTTTTCTATGGTGATCTAGTTTCAATGGACTTATGATCTCAATTATTGAAATTACTATAATATCTACAAATAACGCTTTCTGATACATCATTATTTGTTTAAAATTCGAAATTTGGTAAAACTTGGAACGGAAAATAGCATACTTTATACAATTCTGTTATTTGGTATATAATTTCCATTCATACGGGACAGCATTTTCCTCATTGTCAATCATCATATTAATAGTTTGAACTAGGGTACCCAAGTGCCAGATTCAAGTGATTTTCTCATGAAAACCACTCTCCTAACTCTTCATCTACAGTTCTAATCCACAAGGCATCGGGACAACATCAGAAGATACTGTTCCATGGTAGTCTATGGGCAGAAACATATACTTAACCTATTCGACCTAGTTTAGAACAAGGATTTTCCGAATCCCTCAAGAGACCCTTGTTATGCACCACATATGTTTACACTTCATCCTGGTATTTTAGTGCACAATTCTAACACCGAGATTCTGTAGTGATGAAGACTTACCTGATAGATGCTATTACTACACTACTTCAGTTATTTCCACTCTAAATTCTTTGCCACCAATTTTAATTTTATTTCACACACTTAATACTTGGGCATCATTCGTTACTTTTTCAGTAACGATTCTTATATTTAACGTCATTTCCTCTCTCTCTCTGATTTTTATCTTACTAACTTCCTTTTTGTTCTACTAATGTAAGTTGTGAGAAGGTGTGCAAATACATAGTTGCTTTAGGTTTTTTCATTGTCTCAGACTAAATAATAATAAACTCTGGAGAAACCTTCATTGACTGATTTATTCAAAAACCATGCTGTCTTTACATAAATTTAGATCGTTAAATAGGCAACAGATGTATGTGTGTCTCTTGACCTTAGATACAATGGATCTGCACCTGGTTTTTTAATTTATATTCATTTTATTTATTTCTTTGTTGTTGTGTCGAATACAACTAGATCCATTCCTTTAAAAACAATAAATGCTAATTCTTTTTTTTTCCCTTAAATTATTGTTGGACAAATGACAATGTTTATTTACCTAAATCATATGAATAGATGATATTGACACAATTCAAAAACGATCTCAGTGATCCATCTGCATTCATTCTTTAACTACTAGTAAAGTTTGAGTTTGATTTGTCAGTCAATCAGTCAAGATCAATGCAGTATCTAACATAAATTTCATTCAGATCAATTTCCTATGTAATATCAGTATCAGGTGATAAAATTAACATCAGTCAGTCAGTCAGTCAGTCAGCTACAACGTAGGACCAGACACATATATGCATCGGTCCAAATTGCCATACCTCATTAGTACAACATGATGAACACCGGATTCATAAAAGTAGTTAATTCAGAGGTAGTAATATACAAAGATTGAATATGAGGATATAGTACAGGAAGAAAGAATTAGTTGGTAGAAAGAAAGATATGAAACGATTTTAATCTTATAGTTTAAGGGAAAACAGAGAGTGTATACATAAGAACTTTCGTCTAAATTTGAACGAATAATTTCACAATATTTGGGCGCCGAGTTAATGTGAGACATTAAAAAGAAGAATATATTTACTTAAAAATTCATTCGCTGAGATTTTACAAATATACTCTTCTTTTTAAGAGAGTGTATACATCTACGCCGTTGTGATCGATTCTGAGCCATGTCACCAAGAGTCTCCAATCATTAGTTACGATAGTCACGCAAACCCCAACAAAGTAGTCTACATCTACCAACATGGCTAAGACTAGAAGTTAGTGACTTCAAGCACTGATGCCACGCTTTGGTTTGACCACCCCTAACTTTCTTCCAACCATCTCCAACACCCGTTAGCGTTGCACGTCGTGGTAATCGGTGTTTAGGCATACGTAACACGTTGGCCAACCATCTCAGTCGATGAACATTCACAACCTCATCAACTGAATTACCGTCATTCCCTAATACCCTGAGTCTAACCTCACCCGGTGA